TATATATATATAGTGGTTTTATCTTGATAGTTCTTGTAATGTTTATGTTTTCTCTTAGGAAGATAGGTTTTAGTAAATTGTCAATACTTTGGGAATGATTTTTTATGTCTTTTTGAAGGAGATTTTCACAAACAAATTATTCGCAAACAATTCTAAATTATTTTTGCTAAGATCCTTTCACGTTTATGTTATTTTGTAAGTGTAATGTCTGAACATAATTCAAGACATGTTCAAATGCAAACATTAATATTTTTTTTTTTTTCATTTGTAAGGTTTTCATATGTAATAGCATGTGTCTTTTTCTTAACTCTTTCAGCAAAGAGATTATGAAGACTTTGTCTTGTTTCCAAGGATTATGAATGCCTTCAGATAGATTCATTACCCTTCCTAAGAAAACATATTGGTACCACATGAAAAGAGATCACATTATTGTTATTTTGTCATAAAATTATCTCAGAATTTCGATAACATCACACGTAATTTTTTGGGCATTATTTTGTCTAGATTGAGTAGTTGTCATATAAATTAGCATCCTATAAATAATGTAACTAATTTGTTGATCAGAAGTCCATCAAGATTCATTTATATACTTGAAAAATATCATATTGATACGGATATTTAGACGCTTATTCTTCATGAAGAATATCTAATGGAGTAGGCTTATTATAATAATAACAATTTATGAGGGTATTTTAATATGTTGACTTCTAAAAAGAATGGCTAGACTTTTAAATTATGAAAAGAGGCTTTAACTTGTCTCTATTTCATCTTCAAATATAGGATTTTTGTTTTCACTTGTAGGCAAAGATATTCTATCTAAGGCAATAATATGATAGGATTTAAACTTTTGTATTAAACCTTCTAAACCTTATTTTGTAGGGCCAAAATAAAAATTAAAGGCTAGATAAGGCTGATTAGTTGGACTTTTTTATAATTATTAGTTTTGATACTAAAACTTTTTATTATTATTATTTGTAATAATGAGAAGGGTGTATATATGTGTAAATTTGATTATTTAAAAATATACCTTTCTACTAAAATTACATTTCCAAATTTACTTTCTCAAATTTATTCAAATAGAACATTTATTGTAGATTTTACAATTTTCAAAATTTATTTGATGGATTTAAATAAAATTTAATGTATAGTGGTACTTTAATAATTATTTATTTAGAAATATACCCAAATCTCTTAAAATTATTTATATTATTATGAATTATTGTTTTAAAATTATTTTTAAAAATTATGTTGAAGTTTTTGATTTTTTTATGTAATTTGTGTTATCTAATGTTTATTATTAATAATTTTATCATTTATTTATTATTTTAGTACATCTTAGAGATGAAATTGATATTTCTTAGGTTTGTCATGTTTTCTACTTTTAAGAAAATTACAGTAAGTTTAGATTATCAAAATAATTTTTTTGTAAAAATTTTGAATTATTTGGATTTTTATTTTATTTTATTAATTATTTGGGTTTTACAATTATTTATTTTTTTAGAAAAATATATTTTCATTAATTTTACTTAATTTTATTTCCACATTATTCTCCTTAGTTTACTATATTTCCAACATTTTTAAAATTTTTAATTGTATTTTTATTTTTAATGAGTTTTTTTAAAAATTTGAATGTTTTTTTGGATTAAACTAAATGAATCTAGAAGAAAAACACCACTTCAGCAGCCACACAAGGTGCTAAAGAGGTTCACCAGTCTATATGTCAGCCTCCAATTCTACCACTAATCCACGTGGTGATGTTTGTTTGGGTGATTAATGATTTACAATGATTACTAATTGTGGAATGCAAAGCTCGTTGGGTATATTGGGTGCAACTTGATCTCCACCGTCCAAAATAAATACACACAAATGGATGGCATTGATTCATGGTCCCAAACGGGATGGTGAATCTGAGCCACCTGTCCAAAAAAATACATGATCAATGTAGTAGAAACTCTAATTCTAAGAACCTTTCTTACAAAATAGACCACAATAACATATCCTTTTAATCTAACAATCAAAATCCAATGGTTTTCAAATAACTTTCAGAAAAGACCACTACTAAAATCCTCATATTTAAGTTTTGAGCATTACCTCAATCATAGTGATGATCTAAGTGTTTGTTTATAGTGAAATGGTCTTTTGTATCTCACAAGCTGCCCGTTGAGTACAATTGCAAGATCTTAAAACCCCTTCCACGTCTCAATTGAATGATGGCTCAGCTTGATCAAACAGTAGGTTAGAAGGCTTAATGTTATGGGCAATCAATTGATGATTTGATTTGACAATATGGTAAAGCATATGGAAACTTGGGATTGAATAATGAAACAAAGATTTGATGGATTGGGTGGTTTCTTGGTTTGGGTTTGATGAACACTGAAGGGGAGGAAGAAAATGGGTCAAGTTGAGGGTTAGGAAATTATAAAGAGAAGTTACAATGGACTGAGAGCTCTGGAAACAAAGTTTCAGCAAGCCCAAATTTATTTATAGTATTTATGATGTAGGGATGGCTAGTTAAAATGGAAGGAATCGACACCAATAATTGGTGTCAGGATGAGCTGGCTGTGAGCTGGCAAGTCAAGGAAGCAAACCAATTGGGCGTTGTAAAATAAGGTTGGTTAAAGTTGGTATGTTATCCAATATAATCATGCCATATGGAGAGAAAGAGATGAGATGTTAATATAATGCTCGAGTTAGCTCCAATGGCAAGGTTTGGATGTACAAATGATTGTGAATTTGAGCTCAAATGCAAAGTTAAGGAGTTTGGTTTTGAACTCAATAGAAAGGTTGAATAGATTTGGGTTCAAGGTCTGACATGGGTTTGGGTTTGAAAACTTGGGTTGTACTTCATTAAGTGTTGAAGACATGGGCTTGGGTTTGAGAATTAAAAGATATTAGGTAATGAAATCAATGAAGGATTAAAATAACAAGGTTAAGGGTTTTAGGTCAAGGTTAAGA